ATTTCATTTAAACCTATGAGTAGGTGTGATTTGATACTGATAAGAATGTATATTTTGTGTATTTAAAGTGGAGAGCTCTATAAATGTTTATTAAGTTTACTTGATATACAAGTATTCAAGACTTGAACTCAGATCCAGAACAAGTAAACTTAATGAACATTTCTTTATGACTTATCACCATTTATATACCTTTGATACAACTTTCAAGTCTTTTAACTCATTCTCATTGGATTTATATCATTTTACTATTATATTGTAACATACATATTCTTCTCAGATATATGTACGGTGAAGATTTTCTGCCTGTCCCTGTCTTGCCTATTCACTTTCTTCAAGGGGACTTTTGAATATTAAAACATTTTAAATTTTGATGAAGTCAGATTTATCAACTTTTTATGTTTGTGCTTTTTGTGTCCTAAGAAGTCTTTGCTTTTCCCAAGGTCACAAATATTTTCTTTTATGCTCTTTTTTTAAATATAAACTTTGATAACATTGGCTTTTATATTTAAATCTATTGTCCATTTTGAGACAATTTTTACATGTGGCTGAGTTAAAGAATGAGAGTAATTTTCATTTTCCGTATGGAGTTCCAGTTTTCTGATATGATTTGTTGTAAAGTTCAACCTTTCTCCATTGAATTACTTTGGCACCATTGTCAAAAATCAATTGACTATGTACCCGTCAGTCTATTTTTAGAATCTCTCTATTCTGTCCTATTAAACTTATTGTCTATTCTTAAACCAATATTGCACTATCTTGTTTAAGATTAACTTTATAATAAGTAAATCTTAAAGTCACGGCAGGGGTGTAAGTTTTCTAACATTGCTCCTCTTTTATAACATTCTGTTGGTATTACTAGATAGAGCTTTTGACTTTTCATACAAATTTTAGAAAAATAGAAGAAAAACTTCCATTTTGTAAAAAGCCCCCGGGGATTTTGATCTAAATTGTATTCAATCTACACGTTAATTTGAACAATGTTGAGTCTGTCAGCAATCTATGAATATAATATAATTGCTCTGTTTATTTAGGTCTTTCTTTTAAAAATATTTTATATGTTTTATAGATTTTACCCATTTTCAATAGACTTTATTTTATTTTTTAGAGTAGTTTAGATTCACAACAAAATTTAGCACAGAGTTCTCCCACATAATCTCAACCGCCACAAACACGTAACCTCCTCTGTTATCTACATTCACCAGCACAGTAGTTTGTTTGATACAACTGATCAATCTACATTAATACATCATTAAAATTGGAAGTCCACAGTTTACCTCAGGGTATATACTTGGTATTTCACATTCAGTGAGTTTGAACGAATGTGTAGTGACATGTATCCACCATTATAGTATACAAAATGCATCCACTGGCCTAAAAATACCCTCTGGTCCCCCTATTTATCCCTCTTTCCCATCTTATCTCTAGTAATCACGAATTTAGTTTTGCCTTTTTCAGAATGTCATGTAGTTGTAATCATGTAATGTGTAGGCTTTTCATATTGGCTTCCTTTACTGAGTAATATGCTCTTAAATTTCTTCCATGTGTTTTTATGGCTTGATAGCTCATTTCTTTTGGGCACTGAATATTTATTGTCTGGATGTACCGCAATTTATTTACTAACTTACCTACTGAAAGCAGTGTTGGTTTTTTCCAAGTGCTGGCAATTATCTGTAAAGCCGCTAAAAACATCTGTGTAAAGTTTTTTGTGTAGATATGTTTTCAACGTGTTTGGGTAAATAACAAGGACTATCATTACTGGATTTTAAGGTAAGAATATTTTTAGTTTTGTAAGAAATCACTAAACTATCTTCCAAAGTGGCTGTACCACTTTGCAGTGAATTCCCAGCAGTGATGACCAGGAGTTCCTGCTGTGCCACGTCCTTGTCAGTATTTGGTATTGTTCGTGTTCTGGATTCAGGCCATTCTAATAGTATGAGGTGATGTCTCATTGTTGTTTAATGTGCATTTCCCTGATAACATATTATGTAAAGCATCTTTTCATATGCTCATTTTTCATGTGTACGCCCTCTTGGGTTAGGTATCTGTAAAGTTCTTCAGCCCATTTTTAAACTGGGTTATTGTTGAGTTTTAAAAGTTCTTTGTATATTTTGGATAATAGTCCTTTACCAAATTTGTCTTTTGCAAATATTTTCTCCTGGTATATGGCTTTTATTTTTATTCTCTTAACTTCTATGAAGTAATAATTTTTTATTTTAATGATTTTCAGCTTATCAAGCCTTTCTTTTATAGACTATGTCTTTGGTTTTATATCCAAGAAGGGATCATCTAACCCCAGCTTAGCCAGAATTTCCTTCTGTCATCTGCTAGAAGTTTCATCACTTTGTGTTTTACATTTATGTCTGTGGTTCAAGTTACTTTTTGTGAAGGGTGTAAGGTCTGTGTCTAGCTTAATTTATTGCATGTGGATATCTGTTTGTTTCAACGTAATGTTTAAGACTACCTTTTCTCAATTGTATTGCCTTTAATTCTTCGTCAAAGATCATTTGACTATAGTTATAGTATGTGAGTCTATTTCTGGGCTCTCCATTGTGTTCCATTGATCTATTTTCCTGTTCTTTTAATAATATCACACTGTCTTGGTTACTATGGTTTTATAATAGGTAGTGTCAATTATTCAACTTTGTTCTCCTTTAATATTGTGTTGGCTATTTTGGGTCTTTTGCTTCTTCATATAAACTTAAGACTCACCTGGTCAATATCCACAGAATGACTTGCCAGGATTTAGATTGGAGTTGCACTGAGCTTGTAAGTGAAATTGGAAAAAACTGTCATACTGACAATATCATTTTTCTGTTTGTAACATGGAATATCTCCAATTAATTTGTTTCTTTGATTTCTTTCAACAGACTTTTCTAATCTTACTCATGTAGATCCTGTACACACTTTGTTAGATTTATACCTGAGAGTTTTATTTTTTAGAGTACTAATGCAAATGGGGTATTGCATTTTCAGTTTCAGATTCCACTTGTTTGTTGCTGAGACATAGAAAAGCGATAGATTTGGCAGGATGCAGTGGCTGAAACCCTTAATCCTAGCACTTTGAGAGGCCAAGGCAGGCAGATCACTTGAGCTTCGGAATTCAAGACCAGCCTGGGCAACATGGTAAAACCCCATATCTACAAAAACTACAAAAATTAGCCAAGTGTAGTGGCACATATCTATAGTCCCAGCTACTCAAAAGGCTGAGTGGGCGGATGGCTTGAGCTTGGGAGGTGAAGGTTGCTGCAGTGAGCTGAGACCATACCACTGCTCTCTGGCCTGGGTAACAGAAGAACCAGACCTTGCCTCAAAAGAAAAAGAAACAAAAATCAAGAACGAACTGCCATTCACAATTTCTGCAAAGAGAATAAAATACCTAGGAATACAACTTACAAGGAATGTAAGGGACCTATTCAAGGAAAACTACAAACCACTGCTGAACAAAATAAGAGAGGACACAAACAGATGGAGAAACATTCCATGTTCATGGTTAGGAAGAATCAATATAGTGAAAATGGCTATACTGCCCAAAGTAATTTACAGATTCAATGCTATCCCCATCAAGCTACCATTGACTTTCTTCACAGAACTGGAAAAAAACACCTTGAACTTCATATGGAACCAAAAGAGAGCCCACATAGCCAAGTCAATTCTAAGCAAAAAGAACACAGCAGGAGGCATCACACTACCAGAATTCAAACTATACTACAAGGCTACAGTAATCAAAACAGCATGATACTGGTACCAAAACAGAGATATAGACCAATGGAACAGAACAGAGGCATCAGAATCAACACAACATATCTACAACCATACAATCTTTGATAAGCCTGACAAAAGCAAGCAATGGGGAAAGGATTCCCTGTTTAATAAATGGTGTTGGGAAAATTGGCTAGCCATGTGCAGAAAGCAGAAACTGGACCCCTTCCTGACAACTTACACTAAAATTAACTCCAGATGGATTAAAGACTTAAGACCCAGCACCATAAAAACCCTAGAAGAAAATCTAGGCAAAACCATTCAGGACATAGAAGTAGGCAAGGACTTCATGACCAAAACACCAAAAGCATTGGCAACAAAAGCCAAAATAGACAAATGGGACCTAATCAAACTCCACAACTTCTGCACGGCAAAAGAAACAGTCACTAGAGTGAATCGGCAACCAACAGAATGGGAAAAAATCTTTGCAGTTTACCCATCTGACAAAGGGCTGATATCCAGAATTTACAAAAAACTCAAACAGATTTATAAGAAAAAACAAACAAGCCCATTCAAAAATGGGCAAAGGATATGAACAGACACTTTACAAAAGAAGACATACATGAGGCCAACAAACATATGAATAAATGCTCATCATCACTGGTCATTAGAAAGATGCAAATCAAAACCACATTAAGATACCACCTCGTGCCAGTTAGAATGGCGATCATTAAAAAATCTGGAGACAACAGATGCAGGAGAGGATGTGGAGAAATAGGAACACTTCTACACTGCTGGTGGGAGTGTAAATTAGTTCAACCATTGTGGAAGACAGTGTGGTGATTCCTCAAGGACCTAGAAATAGAAATTCCATTTGACCCAGCAATCCCATTACTGGGTATATATCCAAAGGGCTATAAATCATTCTACTATAAGGACACATGCACACGAATGTTCATTGCAGCACTGCTTACAATAGCAAAGACCTGGAACCAACCCAAATGCCCATCGATGATAGACTGGACTGGGAAAATGTGGCACATATACACCATGGAATATTATGCAGCAATCAAAAATGATGAGTTTGTGTCCTTTGTAAGGACATGGATGAATCTGGAGAACATCATTCTCAGCAAACTGACACAAGAATAGAAAATGAAATACTGTATGTTCTCACTCATAGGCGGGTTATGAACAATGAGAACACATGGACACAGAGAAGAGAGCACGACACACTGGGATCTATTGGGGGAATAGGGGAGGGACAGCGGGGGCGGGAGCTGGGGAAGGATAGCCTGGGGAGAAATGCCAAATGTGGGTGAAGGGGAGGAAGGCAGCAAAACACACTACCACGTGTGTAATATGCAACTATCTTGCATGTTCTGCACATGTACCCCAAAACCTAAAATGCAATTAAAAAAAAGAAAAGAAAGAAAGAAAGAAAGAAAGAAAGAAAGAAAGAAAGAAAGAAAGAAAGAGAAAGAAAGGTAAATGTAAATTAATCTTGTATCCTGCAGCCTTAATATAATTGCTTATTATTTCTGTGAAACATTTTTTTGGTATCTCAAATTTTCTAAATAGACAATTATGCTACCAAAGACAGTTTGATTGCTTCCTTTCCAATCTGTATACCTTTCGTTTCTTTTTCTTGCCTTATTGCATTCCATTGTTTTGTTGAAAAGCCATAGTGAAAAGAGACATTTTTTCCTTGTTCTTTATCTTAGTGGGAAAGTTTTGAGTTTTTCATCATTAAATATGAATGTTAGCTGTATATGTTTTGTAGACATTTTTAATCAAATTGAAGAAATATTTTACACGTATTTTATTAAATTTACTCTTTTTTTTTGAGATGGAGTTTTGCTCTTGCTACCCAGGCTGGAGTGCAATGGCGTGATCTTGGCTCACCGCAATCTCCGCCTCCTGGATTCAGGCAATTCTCCTGCCTCAGCCTCCTGAGCAGCTGGGATTACAGGCACGCGCCACCATGCCCAGCTAATTTTTTGCATTTTTAGTAGAGACGGGGTTTCACCATGTTGACCAGGATGGTCTCGATCTGTTGACCTCGTGATCCACCCGCCTCGGCCTCCCAAAGTGCTGGGATTACAGGCGTGAGCCACCGCGCCCGGCCATTTACTCTTAAATTATATTAGTCAGGGTTCTTTAGAGGAACAGAACTAATAGGATAGATGTATATATGAAGGGGAGTTTATAAGAGAATTGACTCACAAGATCACAAGGTGAAGTGCCGCAGTAGGCTGCCTGCAAACTGAGGGTCCAGAAAGCCAGTCAGAGCCCAAAACCTCAAGAGTAGGAAAGCTGATAGTACAGCCTTCAGTCTGTAGCTGAAGGCCTGAGAGCCCCTGGCAAGTCACTGGTCTAAGTCCAAGACTCCAAAAGCTGCAGAACATGGAATCTGATGTTCGAGGGCAGGAAGCATCCAGCATGGGAGAAAGATGGAGGCCAGAAGACTTAGCCAGTTTAGTCTTTTCACATTCTTCTGCCTGCCTTTATTCTGCCCACACTGGCAGCTGATTAGATGGTGCCCACCCAGGTTGAGGGTGGGTCTGCCTTTCTCAGTCCACTGACTCGAATGTTAATCTCCTTTGGCAACACGGTCACAGACACACCCAGAAATAGTACTTTTCATTCTTCAATCCAATTAAGTTAACACTCAATATTAACCATTATATAAGTACTTTATGTTTTTGATGCTATCATCAGTGCTATTTAATTTTCAGTTATCATTTGTTTTGTAAGTATGTAGAAATGAAATTAATTATATAATTAATATTAAATTCTGAGTATTGCTAAACTCTTCTACTAGTTCAAGTGGCACTAGCAAGTAATTTTGTGGATTCCTTACGAATTTCTAAGTTTACAAATATTCCCATAAAATGATTTATCTTCAGTATTAGTGTCTTCTGTTTCTTTTTCTTGCCTTACTTAAGTGGCTGGGGCTTTTAGTACAATATTGAATATATAGTGATTTTTTTCCCAATCTTGGGTGAAATGATATTAGTGTTTCATCCATACATATAATGATAGATGTAGATTTGTCTTACATGCCTTTTATTGGGCTGAGAAAGTTCCCATAACTCTTAAGTTTGGTGCTTTTAATTGTGAATAGCTATGGAATTTTGTCAAAAGCTTTTTCTGTATCTATTATAATAATCATTAGGTTTTTCTCTTTTATTCTGTTGATATGGTGAATTGCAGTGATTTCTTTTCAAATGGTAAATCATCCTTGCATCACTGAGATAAACCCTAACATGATGTATTATCTATTTAAAAAGTGCTAAACTTGATTGGCTAAAATTTTGTTAAACAGGTTCTTTGTTTTGTTTTGTTTATTTGTTTGAGATGGAATTTTGCTCTTCCCCCAACCTGGAGTGCAAGGCAGGATCTTTACTCACTGCAACCTCTGTCTCATGTGTTCAAGTGATTCTCATACCTCGGCCTCCAGAGTAGCTGGAATTACAGGCATGCACCACCATACCCAGCTAATTTTTGTATTTTTAGTAGAGGTGGGCTTTTGCCATGCTGGCCAGGCTTGTCTTGAACTCCTGACCTCAGGTAATCTGCCTGCCTCATCCTCCCAAAGTACTTGTATTACAGGTGTGAGCCACTGTGCCAGGCTTGTTCAACATTTTAATGTTGATGTTTATGAAAGTTTCTAGTGTGTCATTTTCTCAAAGACTTTGGTTTTGAAATAAATTTAGTAAACGATCTGGTGTTTGGGGAGTATACTTACTTTATCAGAAGGTTTTTAATTACAAATTCAATTTCTTTAATAGAAACACACTTATTCAGATTTTCTATTTCTTTTTTAGTTGATTTTGGCAGTTCAAAAAACACAGTTTACCTATTTCTTTGAGGTGGTTAAAATTATTGTTATGAAGGTGCTTATAATATTCTCTTATTATTCTTTAATAACTGTAATGGTATCACATTTTTCAGTTCTTATGTCAGCAATTTGGGTCTCCTTTAATCTTTGATTATGCTAGCTAAAGATTTATTATTTCTTTAAAGTATTTATCAAGATTTTAAAAATCCTATTCTTGCTTTAGTTACTACACATACTGTTTTTCTATTTTATTGATTTTTGCTCTCATCTGTATTATTTCCCATTTTCTGCTTACATTGAATTTATTTTCTAATTTATATTTTTCAAATGAAAGCTCAGATAATTGATTTTGCAACTTGTTTCATTTTTATGCAGATTTTTAAAGCTATATTTTTTCCTCCTAATGGTGGTGTTATCTGTATCCTACATATTTGGATATATCTTAAAATTTTTTTCATTGTCTATTATGGCTTATTTCTCACTAGGACATAGAAGTGATGTTTTGTTTTGCTTTTTACAAATACTTAGGGTTTTTCATATATTTTTCTGTTATGTTTCATTTAATACTATTGTAGTCAGAGAATATACTCTGTTTAATTTCAGCCCTCAAATATATTGAAACTTATAGCCTAAAATATGGTATATCTTGGTGGATGTTTCTTATACACTTAAATGTAGATTCTGCTTTTCTTAGGTGAATGTTTATAAATTTTATTTATGTCAGGTGGTTTTTAATGCCATTTAGGTCTTCTCTATCCATTCTGGTTTTTTGTCTACTTATTGTATCAATTACTGAAAGACCAGTGTTTCAGTCTCCATAGTAATTGTAGATTTGCCTATTTTTCTATCCTGTTTTGTGAGCTTTTATTTAATGTGTATTAAAACTCTAATGTGGGATTCATATAGGTTTAGAATTGTTTTATCTTCTTGACTGATTGACAGTTATATCATTATAAAATTTATCACTAGAAATATTACATAGTTTGAAGTCTCTATGATCTGAAGTTAGTCATTCTATTCTTATGATTACTATTTGCATGGTAAATATTTTTAAATTATTTAAATTTAACCTTTCTGTGCTGTAAGTTTTTAGAGTTAGTATTTATAGACAGATTTTGTGCCATCTGATAATTGTTACATTTTAATTGGAAATGTAAGTGCATTTATTTTTAATGTAAGAGTTTATATGGTTGCATTTAAGTCTACATTATTGCTATTTGCTTTCTTTTAAATTCATTATTTATCCTATTGCTTTCCCTTTTTCTTGCCTTCTTTTTTGATTAACTGGGTATGTTTTAGGAATTTATTTTATCTCTTCTATTGGCATATTATTTATAATTCTCTGTTTTATTTTCTAAGTGATTGCTTTGGTATTGATTGGCAGCATGAATTTTTTTCTGGATATAAAATTATAAATTGGGAGATTTTTGGAGAGCCAAGACCTTGAGTATGTTGTTCATATTTATTTAGTTTCTGGTAAGAAGTGTATTGTTATTTTTATCTTTATTCCACCTTATGTAAAATGTCTTTTTTTTTCTGGCTACCTGTAAGATTTTCTCTTTATCGTTACTTTCAGTAATTTAATTGTAATGCGCCTCTGACTCTGTATGTGTGTGTTTCCCTTGATTGCACTTGATTAAGGTTTCTGTCTTTGAGTTCATAGCTTTCATCATATTGGGAAAACTTGGAAACATTACTTCTCAAACAGTTATTATATCATTTTGTGTCTCTCTTCACCTTCTGGGGCTCCAAATGTGCATATGACAGATAGTTTAATGTTATTCCACAAATTTCTGAGATTCTTTTTATTTTTCTTTTTAACTGTTCTTTATGTTTTACGTTTCTATTGTTATACCCTCAAGTTCACTGATTTTCTTTTTTCTTTTTGATACAGGCTCTCACTCTGTGGCCCAGGCTGGAATGCAGTGGCACAATCTCAACTCACTGCAAACTCCACCTTGGAGGCTCGGGTGATTCTTTCATCTCAGCCTCCTGAGTAGCTGAGACTACAGGTACACACCACTATGCCCAGCTAGTTTTTGTATTGTTTTAGCAGAAATGGGATTTCACTATGTTGCCCAGGCTGTTCTCAAGCTCCTGGGCTCAAGGATTCCTCTCAACTCAGCCTCTCAAAGTGCTGGGATTACAGGCATAAGCCACCACACCTGGCCAGTTTTTCTTTTATAATGTCTGTTTTGCTTTTCATTCCATCAGTGAAATTTTTGTGCAAATATTTTTCAAGTTTAAAAGTATAATTAGGCTCTTTTGAATCTTTCATATCTGTCCTTACTGTGTTCATATTTTTATTTAATTATTTGTCTTAGTTAATTTTGAGAAAAGATAATCAGCCGGGTGTGGTGGCTCATGTGTGTAATTGTAGTATTTTGCGGGGATGAGGCAGGAGGATCACTTGAGGCCAGGAGTTCAAGACCAGCCTTGGCAACATAATGAGACCCCACATCCCAGTAAAGAGAGAGAGAGAAAGAGAGAGAGAGAGAGAGAGAGAGAGAGAGAGAGAGAGAGAGAGAGAGAGACTAGGTAATTTATAAAATATGTATATATTTTTCTAAATAATTCTGGAGCCTGGGAAGCTCAGGGTCAAGGGGCTGCCTTTAGTGAGAAACTTCTTGCTGTTGGGGAATCTCTGCAAAGTCCCCAAGTAGTGCAAGGCATGACAGGGTGAAGGAACTGAGTGTGCCAGCTCAGATATCTCCTTCTTTTATAACACCACTAATCCCCCGTACTTATGAGCTCATCTAATCCTAAATATCTCCCAAAAGTTCCACCTCACAAATACCATAGTCAAATTTCTCACGTTCTTAATGCTGTTACAATAGGGATTCGGCTTCAACATGAGTTTCAGAGGGGACAAACATTCACGTCATAACATTTCACCCCATCCGCTGAAATTCATGTCTCTTACCCACACAAATACATTCATTCCATCACTATTGCCCCAAAGTCTTAACTTGTTCCTGCATTAATTTAAAAGTCCAAAGTCTCATCTGTGATCTGTGAAGACAAGTTATCTACTTCTAAAACACAGTGGTGGGAAAGGCATAGATCACACATTCCCATTCCAAAAGAAAGAAAAATGAAAGAAGAAAGGAGTAACAGGTCCCAAGCAATTCCATACTCCAACAGAGTGAACAACACAAAATCTCAAGGCTTCACAGTAATCTTCCTCACACGTTCCACTTCCTGGATACACTAGTTCACTGCCCAGTGTGCATTGTTGAATTCCTTAATGTTACTCCACAAGTCACTGAGGTTCTTTTCTTTTTTTAGTATTTTTACTTGGAAATGTACTTTGCCAAGTTCATATTGTTATACCCTTATGTTTACTGCTTTTCTTTTCCATGGTATCACCCCTGCTTTTCATTCTGTCACTGAAAGTTTCATGTATATATACTTAACATTGAGAAATTTAATTTGGTTCTTTTTTAACTTTTATGTTTCTCCTCATTGTGTTCATGTTTTCCTTTGACTGTTTAAATATAGCTATAATTGCTGTTTTAAAGTTCTTGTCTCCCAATCACATCATCTTTGAGCTTCCTTCCTTCCTTCTTTTTTCTTTCTTTCTTTCCTTCCTTCCTTCTTTCTCTTTCTCTCTTTCCTTTCTTCCTTTTCTTTCTTTCATTCATTCTTTCTCTCTTTCCTTCCTTCTCTTTCTTTCCTTCCTTTTTCTTTCTTTCATTCTTTCTTTCTTTCTCTCTTTCCTTCCTTCTCTTTCTTTCTTTTATTCTTTCCTTCCTTCCTTTTTCTCTTTCATTCTTTCTTTCCTTTCTTTCTCTTTCCTTCCTTTCTTCTTGTTTCTTTCTTCCCTTTCTTTCTTTCTTTCCTTTCTTTCTTTATTTTCTTCTTTCTTTCCTTTCTTTATTTCTTTTTTTTTTTTGAGACATGGTCTCACTCTTACCCAGGCTGAAGTGCAATGGCATGGTCTTGGCTCACTGAAAACTCTGTCTCCCAAGTTCAAGCTCTTTTCCTGCCTCAGTCTCCAGAGTAGCTGGGACTACAGGCATGTGCCACCACACGTGGCTAATATTTTTTTTATTTTTTGTAGAGATGGGTTTTCACTATGTTGGCCAGGCTGGTCTCTAACTCCTGACCTTGTAATCCAGATGCCTGGGCCTCCCACAGTACTGAGATTACAGAAGTGAGCCACGGCCCCCGGGACCTATCTTTGACATTTCTGCATCTGTTTTTATTGACTGCACTGAATTCTGCTTTTGAAAATTGCATGGACTATTTTTCAAATATCAGGTGTTTTTTTGTATAATTAAAAAGTGAAATGCCTATAACACACAGTTTGGTATTTCATTATGTAACGTGTTAACTTTTAATATTTGTGCATGATAAACTCCAAAGGCACTGACATTATTATCTATAAAAATACTACCTCATTTGCTAGCTTAGTACATTCCAAATACTTTATATATAATATCATTACAAGATTCTTTTATTGCACACCAATTTCTTTCTTTTGAGAATTTGTCTCAGTCTTTTGTATAATTTTTTAAAATTTTGTGTTTCAAGACTGTAAATTTTATTATGGCAGAGTATATAACTTATCATTACTTAGCCAGCATTTGATACATAATCAGTCACATATAAATTCAAACAAATATTTATCAATGAATGAATATATAAATGAACACTGCATTATGGATATTATTACAACCAACTTACTTAGATTCATCTTACTTACACCCATATTATTATTTGCCCAGGGTCAAATAATAAGTGGAAAGCCAGAACACGAACCCATATTTTTTCCTTAAAATCCATGATGTGCTATGGTCTCTAATTCTTGAAAGTAAGCACTATGGTTTTATCATTTATTCTCCAAAGTAATTATATAATGTGTTTTATTGGTTTATATTAGATACTTTGATAAATGTCTCTAAAGAATTAATATGTATTACAGAATAACAAGAGCATTGTTAATGGACATTCTTTTTTTTTTTAATTTTTTATTGGATTTTAGGTTTTGGGGTACATGAGCAGAGCATGCAAGACAGTTGCGTAGGTACACACATGGCAGTGTGCTTTGCTTTCCTTCTCCCCTTCACCCACATTTGGCATTTCTCCCCAGGCTATCCCTCCCCACCTCCCCCTCCCACTGGCCCTCCCCTTTTCCCCTTATAGACCCCAGTGTTTAGTACTCCCCTTTCTGTGTCCATGTGTTCTCATTTTTCATCACCCGCCTATAAGTGAGAATATGCGGTGTTTCATTTTCTGTTCTTGTGTCAGTTTGCTGAGGATGATGTTCTCCAGATTCATCCATGTCCCTACAAACGACACAAACTCATCATTTCTGATTGCTGCATAATATTTCATGGTGTATATGTGCCACATTTTTCCAATCCAGTCTATTATCAATGGGCATTTGGGTTGATTCCAGGTCTTTGCTATTGTAAACAGTGCTGCAATGAACATTCGTGTACATGTGTCCTTATAGTAGAACAATTTATAGTCTTTTGGATGGACATTCTTTAAGACATTTCAGGTTGAGGAGTAGGGATTTCTTTATTTTCTAAAGAAAATAAAGGAAAAAACAAAATCTCAACCTCAAACAATCAATTACAAAAGACAAGAAAAGAGAAAATTAGGATCTGAAAATAAAAATTAAAAGTTTTAGTAACTAATTTATCAATAACCATAATTTTAATGTCAGTTAAAAGTAAAGATTTGGCTGGGAGCAGTGACTCACACCTGTAATCCCAGTACTTTAAGAGGCCAAGGCCGGCAAATCACTTGAGCTCAGGAGCTCAAAACCAGCCTGTCCAACACTGCTAAAATCTGTCTCTATTAAAAATACAGAAAGTAGCTGGACATGGTGGTACATGCCTATAGTCCCAGCTGAGATGGGAAGATCGCTTTGGCCCAGGAGATGGAGACTGTAGTGAGCTGTGATCATGCCACTGCACTCCAACAAAGCAAGACTATTTCTCCTCAAAAAAAATTTTTTAAAGGTATTTCAAGAATTGAGAAAACCAAGCTATTGTAGATTATAAGAAACATTCCTAATACATAAAGTAAAAAGACTATATCAAAAGATTTACACTGATACACTAGGCAAATACTAACTAAAAGAATTCTGGCAAGTAATGTAATATCAGTTAAAACGGACTGTAACACAAAAGCTATATTAGGTTACATGCTACAACATGGATGAACTTTGAAAACATGGTAAGTGAAATAAGCAAGACATGATAGAACAAATACTATATGATTCCACTTATTTGAGGTATCTAGAATAGTCAAATTTATTAAAACAGAAAGTAGAATAGAGGTTGCCAGGGGCTGGAGATAGGGGAGAGTGAGGAATGGGTACAGAGCTTCTGTTTGGAATAATGAATTTCTGGAAATGAAGAGTAGTTGGTATGAACTAAATGTTTGTGTTCCTCAAAATTCATACATTGAAACTCTAACCTCCAATGGGATGGTTTTAGAGGGTGGGACTTTTGGGATGTAATTTGGTTTAGATGAGGTCATGAGGGTGGAGCCACCATGATGGGATTAGTGTCTTTATAAGAGGAGAAAGAGACTTTGATTCTTGCTCTCTCTTTCCCAAGTGAGGACACGAAGAGAAGATGGCCATTCTTAAACCAGGAAGGGGTTCCCATCAGACATCAAAGCTGCTGATGCCTACATCTTGGACTTCCCAGCCTCCAGAAATGTGAAAAATAAAATTCTGTTTTTTAAACCGTCTACTTTATGGTATCTTATTAAAGCAGCCTGAACTGATTGAGACAGTGGTAATGGCAGCACGATATTGTGAGTGTGTTCATGCCACTAAATTATATGCTTGAAAATGATTTAAATGATTAAATAAAAAGTACAAGGATATCAAGTTTTTCAACTACATTAGCTATAGAGAGGGTCATCACGTAATAATAAAATTCATCATGAAATCTTTGCTTGTGCCTATGCTGAATGGTATTGCTTAGGTTGCCTTCCAGAGTTTTTATAGTTTTCAACCCGGCAATTCCATTACTAGGTATATGCCCAAAAGAACATAAATGATTCTGTTTGCATGCATATGTTCACTGAAGCACCATTCGCAATAGCAAAGACATGGAATCACCCTAAATGCCCATCAATGATAGGTTGGACAAAGGAAAGTGGTACATATACACCACAAAATACTATGCAGTCATAAAAAATAATGAGATCATGTCCTCTGCAGGGACATGGATAAAGATGGAGGCCATTATCCTTAGCAAACTAACACAGGAACAGAAAACCAAATACCACATGTTCTCACTTATAAGTGCGAGCTAAGTGATGAGAATACACGGAAACCTAGAGGGGAACAACCTACAGTGGGGCCTTTCAAAGGATGGTGGGTGGGAGGAGGGAGAGGATCAGGAAAAACAATTAATGGGTACGAGGCTTAATGCCTAGGTGATGAAATAATATGTACAACAAATTTCCATGACACAAGTTAACCTGTGAAACAAACCTGCACATGTACTCTGGAACTTAAAACAAAAGTTGAAAAAGTAATAATAATAATGAAGTTCAATTCAAATAGAAGATACAGTTTGCATGAACCTAATGAAATGGCCTCAAAATATATAAAGAAAAAATAAATAGAAGTACAATAAAATTTGTACCTCTGTCTCCATAGTGGGAATTTCATCATACCTTTTAATTATTAATAGTTAAGCAGACAAAAATAATATATATACAGAAAAGTTTTTTTAATTGATCTAGTAGTATTCTATACTCCAAATTATAGAATATACATTTTTCTCATCCACATTTATAATATTTACAAAATTGGTTACATGTATATAGCCTGGCTATTAAGTAAGCCTGAATCTTTCTAACTTAGTGTCCTAAAAAAAAGAATAAAGAGGGCTACGTGAGGTGGCTCAAGCCTGTAATCCCAGCACTTTGGGAAGCCGAGGCGAGACCATTCTGGTCAACTTGGTGAAACCCCATCTCTACTAAAAATACAAAAAAATCAGCTGGGCATGGTGGCGCGTGCCTGTAATCCCAGCTACTCAGGAGGCTGAGGCAGAAGAATTGCCTGAACCCAGGAGGCGGAGGTTGCGGTGAGCCGAGATCGCGCCATTGCACTCCAGCCTGGGTAACAAGAGAGAAACTCCGTCTCAAAAAAAAAAAAAAAAGAAAAAAGAATATAGAAACATAAGACAAGATTGGAAAGAGAGGAACAACACCAAAGAATCTAGCAAGAGTAGTTGAGTATAATACGAGGATATATAGCAAGTTGGAAAATGTTAGATTCACATGCAGTAATTAATTGAATTTTTATAGAGTAGTAACGAAGAGAAAGTATAATTTTTACAATGTTATTTGTAATAGCAATAAAAATTGTCGTCTACTAGGGAAAGTCTAACAAAAGATGTGCAAGACAAAGTAATATTTTAAAATGTTATGCAAATAATTTAACCAAAACCTCAATTAATGGAAGGATATTTGACATGTAGACATAGCCAGTGTTATAAAAATACCAAATGTTCTCGGATTAATCTATAGCTTTAATGCTATTCCAATCAAAATTTGAACAGGGTTTATACAGAATTTTAAAATCAAATTCTAGTATTTGCATAGAAGAGAAAAGAGACAAGATTAGCTAAGATACTCATAAGGAAAAATGAGGGATGATTTGTCCTAATAGAAATTAGGAATTATGGGCTGGGCGCAGTGGCTCACACCTGTAATCCCAGCACTTTGGGAGGCTGAGGTGGGCAGATCACGAGGTGAGGAGATCAAGACCATTCTGGCTAACACTGTGAAACCCTGTCTCTACTTAAAAAGACAAAAAACATTAGCCGGGTGTGGTGGCACGCACTGGTAGTCCCAGCTTCTGGAGAGGCCGAGGCAGGAGAATCACTTGAACCCGGGAGGCAAAGGTTGCAATAAGTCAAGATCGTGCCACTGCGCTCCAGCCTGGGCAACAGAGCAGGATTCCATCAAAAAAAAAAAAAAAAAGAATTAACATAAAACTATAGTATTTAAGAAAGTGTGATATTGGTACACGGATAGACTGACCAGTAGAACAGAATACAAGTTTAGGCACAGGAGAAACTGATAAAGACAAAGGTGGCGTGGCTGGAGAAAGGAAAGATTATTCAATAAATGCAGTGAGAAACAAAAATTCAATTCATATAAAAATGAAGTTAGCCCGTTTCTTTCATCATGTTAAAGCCAACTCCTAATGATGTAAAGATTTCTATATTAAATATAAAATGATTTTTTGAAGAAATTATAGGAGAGGCCCCTCTGAAACTAGGGTAAAGAAGACTTTCTTAAATAATGCATAAAGAGCATTAACTCCACAAGAAAAGGTTAATAAGATTGATTAATAACAATTTTTCAAAGTAAAATAAAACAAGTCAGAAGTAAAAATTATTTACTGTGCTTTATAGGCAAAAAAGTGTTTTTAAATGTATTTAACTCTCATGGTAAGCCTGAGCAGTGGAAAAGTCAGTCACTTAGAGTAACTATTTAAATAAATAGATAGTAAGTCACCCACAGGTTAAGTCATACAACCAGCTACTTGCGTAGTTTGTAATTGACTTCTAATTCCTCGTCCATTCTTTCCTCTACACCATTTTCCTCTAAAGATAATAGTAAGCTTGTAAATATGTAAAATATTTCACCACTTTCAAAATACCTTCCAGAACACACCATCTGTTTTGATTCCCACATTCACCTTTTAGTTTCTTTAGCATATTTCTTTCTTCTCATAACATACATAGAGCATAATTCAAACAAAACATTGCATTAACTATCAACATAAAATATTTACTTGTTAAAAATTTTCTAGATAATTAAGCCAAAATAACAATTACATAATCTTGGTTTTATTTTATAAACTCCATAGTTTTATTCACTGATTTGTCTAAGAAATAAATAAAAATAATTACTTTGAAAGCTGCTTGATAGTTTTTTTTGAAAGAACAAATGAATGAATGAAAGAATGAATCAATGGTGATAGGGTCCAAAACAGTTTCTGAACTTTGTGAAAATAGAAAAGAATTTGTTCCTACTAGCTAGTAATCTATCACATTACATCTTTCAAAGGACAAACCTTTCCAGAAAATTTTATTTAAGGTGCTAAGACATGCAATGTGTATTACACAAATAAATAAAGTATGACTATATAACAGTATGACTTACTTTTATTCTTATTTGTAAACATCTTGCTCAAAATTTTCTCTCTACCCCCTAATATCCTTATGACCTTGCCAGTGAATGGTAGTCTGGCTACAGGCGAGCTACATCTCACATCCCATTAAACCCACCTGCTCACACTTGGCAGGATTTGGCCAGCGCTGCTGCTCATTAGGGGCTCTGGCAGAGAGAAAGGGTGGGTGGAAGAGGCAATGAAACCAGTGCCTGAAAAGTGAAACTGAGGTTTAGGTTTTATATGGGATTTTATTTGGTGAGTGGTTACACTGCTTTTCATTATATCAGATAACAGGTTGCTGGCAGCATATTTAAAAGATATGAAACTTTTAAGGGGCTGAAAATGAAATTAAAGCTTGATGAAATAAATTCTAATCTGTACCCCACATTCATACGTGTGCCAGGAAATGAACACACTAGTGCTTTAATTGTAATCAGGCTGTTCCTTAAAGGCAGCAGCAATATCCACTTTGCTGCACATGGAGAATCTAGGAAACAATGCCATTAAGAGTTTATATGCCATCTATGTTCCACTTTCTTCATAACATTACATCACTTCTACAGGCATTTTCTGCCCCATTTACTAAACTGGCTCCAGTCAATGAAGTTTTGCATTATGTGCCCCCAGGGAAGAAAATAATGCAAGAGTTTTACTGTCCATGTTAATGCCATTTAATACATTACTCAAACACATACTTAAGACCAACAGTTCTAATTACACAACTTTGGTTTTAAGTGGCTTCCAAACTGACTTCTTAACTGGCAATTTCTCAAAAGCTCTTGTCTTCCCAGACTTCTTTTTGGAGGATTGGAGAGTCAAGAGAATGCAGTTTGAGATGCTGCAAAGGCTCTGGGTTGTTATAACTTCATTGTCTAAAAATGAAGAGAAAGAGTGGTGTCCAGCCTGTTTGTGTTGCTTTGTTTTTATGAAATTTTATGTTTTACATGTTGCTTAAACTGGAATTAATCCTCACCTACCTCTTGGGAGGCTAATGTCTTTGAAAAATGGTTTAACATTCTAAAAGTGGTATGAGTCCAAAAGTAGGAGTGAATAGTGAGGTAGAACAGCATTCCATTTCTTTTTTTGGAGGACTTGGATTTCACTCCACTCCTTTTGAGTAGGAGAAAGCAGATCTGTCTTTTCTCTGTTTGGATAAGGAGGGGAGAGGGCTCAAAGAAGAGAAACATTTTCAGTACCAGCTGTTCCCTAACTCAAGCCCTGCATAAATTTATTCTTTCCTGAGCTGGAGATACTAGAACAAACAAGAGAAAATGGAAAATATGAAGTGAATCAATGTAGCCAGTTTTATTACTTTAAGTTACAAATGTTTTAGAGGAGAGCCAAAAGGCTAAGGGATAAATTAACCAGAGTCTAATCCCAAACCTGTGATAAGAACATAGATATCTAATAAAACTCTCTAAGCTATGCTCTAGTGGAAGCACTGCTGTATTATAAACCCTAATGGCCAATTCTTTTTACCAGATTCCTCAACACATTTTTGCAAACGTCATCAGATATGTGAATCAAGTAATGCCATCTCA